TTGTTTGCATGTGTGGATATTAGATCAATCAATGCAGTTAGGGAAGACTCTCTGAATGGCTTAAAAGATCGATTGCTCTTTTGCCAGGTTTGGCTGGTCCATGAGGGAAACGTATTGAAGATCAAGGATCTCAAATATCATCCTTGGGGTTTTGCCAATTTTGCTTCCTGCATCCATTTTTGGGCTTCACCAGGTCCTACCAACATGTACATGCGCTGATAAAGATCCGGCAGCCTGGGAGCCTAAGTCCTGATAATGACTCGAAGTGTTTCCAAAAACTTCTGGGATCCTCCCTAGGTTTAGAAAATGTTTTGCCTACAGCCCTAAGTTTCACCTTTGACCAAGGAGTGAAAGGCATCTGAAGAGGGCCCCCTGCAACCTCAGGTGTTTTTATTTTAAAAGGTAACTACTTAATAGTCTCTTTAGAGTGGAAAGGCGATTCAGAGAGAGGATTAGGGGACTGGCAGCACTCCGGTAAAGGATAGAGGGGGTAGGAAGGGTCACGAGGTTTAGTCTTCTGTCTCAGGTACCTCTTGGGCCTTTAACTTTTCATTAGCCTTTTTGTAATGACGCTTTCAATGAGATTCAAAATTTCAATTTTGAAGTCTTGGAAGCTTCTGCATACCAGTTAAAATAGGTATTCCATTCGGTTTAATTCAGGAACTTCTAAATCTTACCAGTTGGCATATTCCCCATAATGACCATTGTAAATTCTAGGTTTTTAAGTAAGATTTTGCCACTTTTGTAGATATCTACAGCTTTCTGGGATTATCATTTTTAGACATAAAATAAGCAGGTATGCTGGAAGTAGTTTGCTTAACTATTTATTTATTTATTTGAGAGAGAGAGAGTGCACGAGCAGGGGGAGGGGCAGAGGGAAAAAGAGAAGCAGGCTCCCCACTGAGCAGGGGAGCCTGATGCGGGGCTCGATCCCAGGACCCTGGGATCATGACCTGAGCCAAAGGCAGATGCTCAACCGACTGAGCCACCCAGGTGCCCTGTGCTTAACTATAGATTTAAAAAATCCCATTTCTTTTAGCTAAGAGTTTCTGTGTCTCTTGAAGCCAGATTAGTACTTAAAACAGATGTGCCTCTGGGTTGGGGATTGTGTGTACCTCATTGCATGCAAATTTTACCTAGTATCTATCTAATCCATTCCATGGCCAACTTATCATAACACAGGACTATTTGAGTTAGGTGGCCAGTACTCTAACAGCTTTTAAATGTTTGATTTATGACCACCAATTTTGTGGCTCTTTTGGCTTCTGAGATTCCCATTAGCAATAGCCTATACTTATTGGACCCAGCTTAAGTCAGACTCGGTCTGATCCCAAACCCAGTCTGGCTCTGGTACCCGTGTTGGACACAGTCCATCTTCAGCCAGTAACCACCAAGTTCTCCACGTGGAATCTGGGGACTGGGAAAAGAACTGAACCAGCAGACTCCAAAGAATGAAGACTGTAGTCCAATTTATTTATTTATTTATTTATTTTATTTTTTTAAAAGATTTTATTTATTTATTTGAGAGAGAGAGAGAATGAGAGATAGAAAGCACAAGAGGGAAGAGGGTCAGAGGGAGAAGCAGACTCCCCACTGAGCAGGGAGCCCGATGTGGGACTCGATCCCCGGACTCCAGGATCATGACCTCAGCCGAAGGCAGTCGCTTAACCAACTGAGCCACCCAGGTGCCCCGACTGTAGTCTGATTTAAACAACGACAAAAACAAATGGGGAACCACAGCCACCACCAGGAGTATCCGATGTGAAATCTTGGGATCTGGGGACAAAAGCAGGGACTGGAATTTCCAACCACATAGGGAACGGTGGAAAGCCAATGAGACAGGTAGCAGAGCTGAGAACCGAGAGAACTTATCCTGAGAAACAGTGAGACAGAGAACTCACGGTGTTCCACCAGTACTATGCCCGTGTTTCTCGTTGTTTCCAAATGCCATCAGAAGTCCACTTTGGATCCTACTGCTGCCACCAAATGTGTTAAAACCAAAACTCAACTGAGAAAATTTAAAGATCTATTTGGCTTTTATTCAAGAACTTATGAATCTGGAAGCATACCATCTAACAAGTAGAAAGGAGCTTTGAGTACTGTGCAAAATGGAAGACTTTTATAGGCAGAAACAGGGGCAGGACAAGGAAATTATTAGTAAAAACAAAGGAAGGATTATTCCAGGTAAGGTCACCTTCCTTTGGGCCAGGGCCAGGGTCTACCTCGCGAGCGCTGATCAGGAAATTCCAGATTGACTGGTTAAAGGTCTCATTCCTGCAGTTAAGTCTTGGCTTGCCAAAATGGGGGCAAGGGATTCCATTTTAGGCCTGTTGTTCCCATTTTTAAAAAACAATCTTAAAAAAATAAAATAAAAAAATAAAAAATCTTAATTACCCTATGGACTTTAGTTAATAAGGTTTCAATATTGATTCATCAATCGTTAACTACTGTAACAAATTTTACAAATGTAATTGGAGAAAGTATGAAAGGGGAAGAGGATTATGGGAACTCTTCATACTATTTGCTCAATTCTCTGTAAACCTAAAATTCTCCCCCTGTCCAAGATAAAAGCTGTTAAAACAAAAAAGAATTATTTCCTCTTTCATGTAGGAATCCTTTTCTGAACATTTCAATTAGGCTGCTATGAAATTATAAGGTTTTAGAGGTAAAAGTTTCTTAAATTTTATCTTATCCCAAACCTTCACTTCATACATAAGGAAGCTGAAGCCCAGAAAGGAGAGGTGCCCAAGATCACACAGTTATGTAGTTTTAAAGTGAAAATAAGAATTTTTTATTCAACGTAAGCCTTTTCCTTCCTAGCAGAGAGCTCTTTGCACCACCCCAAACTGCATTAAGCATGTTTTCTACCTATGGAATTCTCATACGATTGGCTTTTCTTAACCTGGGGTTGACCAGCTCAGTTTTAGAATAATGAGGAGCGTTCCTTCTGTAGGGGTGAAGGCAGACTACCCCAAGATGGACCCTTTGGCCTGGTGGATTATTCTGAGCTGAAGGCAATTGGGATCCCACAGGCTCAAGAGAAAATTTTGCCCCTCTTACAAACCTAGAAGAATCTAAATTGGGCGACTTTCCCAGAATAAGGATTATTAGCAGAGATAAATCTTATCTGAGTGACCCATCTGTATCACAGGGTGAACATCTAATTACCAAACTTCTGGGGTGCCCAACTGGCTCAGTCGGTAGAGCCCTTGACTATTGGTCTCGGGGTTGTGAGTTTGAGCCCCAAGTTGGGTGTAGAGATTACTTTAAAAAACCGAAATCTTTAAAAAAAAAAATACCAAACATCTGTTCTTCATGTTGCCCTGTGAAGTGCATTCCTTTCCTCTGAAGTCCCAGACCCCTGCCCCTTCTCCTTAGTTCAAGATGACATATAGACCTCACTTTACCTGACTGTCTTTGGAATTTCCATGTCTGTGTGGATTCCCTGTACGTATGCTATTAAATTTTATTTTTCTCGTGTGAATCTGTCTCATGTCAATTCAATTCTGAGTCCAGCTAGAAGGACTTGTGAGAGGACAGGAATTCTTCCTCCCTGACACTTCTAAAGAGAACTCCCTGTTTCTTGTTTCCCTTTTCCTGAGGTCAACAGTATCCTTTCAAGAGGCAGAGCTGACTTTCTGCCTCTTACAGATTCAGGGGACTATCTATATGACTTGGAGTGACATGCATGGGTAATGAAAAATCCTGGATCCTTGACCAACTCAGCCAACGTGCAGAAATATCCTGTGGATGAGGCCCAGCTGCTGTCATTTTAAGATGCTCTGAGGCTGATAATCAGGCCAGTGGGAACATATGCAATGTGTCACACCCATTTTATTCTTTGGCCAAAACTATTATCCCGTTAGGCAAGTGTGAAGCTAACAAAACAGATGCCTAAGAGACTAGACTTGAGAATCCCCATAGTGACTGCCTCATTTGCTCAAAATGACTTCATTGATTTAAGTAGAAATGGTCCCTGTCCTTAAGGAGATTCCAATTTAAAATCCTGTCCCTAACTATGATATTACCTCATCTGTGCCTCAGTTTTCTGATAGCCAAAACTAGAATGGTCTTCAAAGATGCATCCAGCTCTGATGGCACACAATTTTATGTTTCTTATTACAACAGCCATAAGGCAAACATATCGGTCCATCTTATCTCTTACCCCTCCCTCACAGGACACTGGGATTCCTGACCTTTACACATGACTTTTGAATGTGTCTGAGCATGTGATCCTGCATTCCCATTCTTTTAACTTAATTCTAGACAAAGTTCAAAGGTAAGAGTGCACCCATAGTATTTAGAACACTACTAGACTGAGTTCAGCAGAAATTGCCTCTTCAATTAAAGAAACAATTAAGGGTGGTATCTTTATTTTATTTTATTTATTTTTTGAGAATGGTATCTTTATTCCTATCTTACAGATGAGAAACTGAGTCCTGGAATTGTTAACAAAATGTCCTGAGACACTATGTCCTGGAAATAATAACTAGCATTTAGTGAATGTTAATAAATAGAGGCACAGAGAGGTTAAGCAAATTTGACACTTCACACAGCTGATGGGTAGAGGAGCTGATAATCACAATCAGCCATACTAACTACTTAGGGCTATATGTAATAAGTATAACATCCTGTGTTTTACTATCCTTACTTAGTCTAACTTAATATTATTTTAATCATCACTCCAATGCTATGATTTAGGTATTATCAACGGTGTGCTGATAAATGTCTAACTACTGGTTTTCCAAGGAAGGATGGAATCCTGATTTGTAATGTTTGCCAATTTTCATAGTGTGACTATTCCTACTAGGGCCAATTTCAAGGTACCACTATAACATGAATGAACTCAGAACTGGGAAGACATGTACAGTAACTCCACTATACGGTATTTCTGTTGTATGGATATAATATATATAAATAGCTTCAAGAAATAGGTAATAGTAAATCATAGTAAAATATTAGGAAACACTTACTTTGAGTATTTATTGCCTTCATTTTTTTTTTCCTTTGTGGCATCTTTATTTTTCTATCTGGTACATGAACAAAGTGAACATGGTCAGAAAAATCAGCTGCACTGAAACAGCCGATTGTAAAACAGAGGGCATGAGGACATGGAAGGGCGGGGTGGCAATTCCAGACCAGCTTCCCCCAAAGGGCTTATGCTCCAAGCCCGCAACCAGAGGCTGCTCTGGGCAGGACTGTGCAGTGCATCTCTGGGGAGGAGCAACAAGAAGGACCAGTCACAACAGGGACTGCAGCGGCCATGAGTTTATTGGCTTCTGACCTCACGCTCCTGTTTGATGAAGTTGATGAGCCCTTTGGTGGAAGAGTCGTAAGAGGTCCCTGGGCTACTGCCATCAAGCTCAGGCTCTATTTTCTTGGTCAGCTGCTTTCCCAGCTCCACCCCACACTGGTCAAAGCTGTTGACATGGGTCCCAGATGATACCCTGAATGAAGATCTTGTGCTCGTACATGGCAATCAAGGCTCCCAGAATGAATGGCGTGGGCTTGGTGAACACAATAGAGTTGGTTGGCCGATTTCCTTCAAAGACCTTGTGTGGCAATAGCTTCTCCAAGGCCTCTGGACTCTTCCCTGCGGCCTGCAGCTCCTTCTGGGCCTCCTCTGTTGACTTCCCCTTCATCAGGGCCTCAGTTTGCACCAAAAAGTTGGCCAGGAGGATCTTGTGATGCAAACCCTTCCTTATCCGGTGCTGGGTCTGGATGGGATGAGGAAGTCACAAGGTATCATCTTGGTGCCTTGGTGGATGAGCTGGTAGAAGGTATTGCCTTCATTTTTAATAAAATGTACTTAACTATAAGTGAACAAAGGAAGCTATAGAGTAATGCTTACAACATGTTTCTGTTTTTGTATATAAGAGAAAACCATCACATATGTGTATTATGTGTTTATTTGGTAAAAAAAGAGTAAACTGTTAAAATGGGTTACTTCAAAGATGAGGGGATTGAGGATGCCAACAATAGTTACCTTTTTTTTTGTCACATCTCTGTATTTGATATTTTACAACCATAATATTGTGCTTATATGACAAAAAATAATCTATAGTTTACCTTTGGAAGGTAAGAATGACTTTTTCATTAAATGGTTTTAGAGGTGAAGGGAATTACAATAATTGTGAAGGTTGAGGAGTGTTCAATTTCTCATTTTAAAATTAGTGTTTATTGGTTCATTGTCCTTCCCACCGGAATGAAAGCTCTGTCATGGTCAGCACGTAAGTACCTACAAAGTCATGTTTCCAGCCACCATCATCCCTCCCTTAAACTAATACAACAGCTTCCTAACCATCTCACTGTTTCTGTTCTTTCCCTCCGCATTAGCTTGCTAGAGCTGCCATAAGAAAGAACCACAAACTGGATGGCTAAAATCCACAGCTTGTCTCACAGTTCTGGAGGCTACAAGTCCAAGATCAAGATCTTGGCCAGGTTGATTCCTTCCGAAGCTCTAAGAGAGAATCTGTCCCATGCCTCTCCCCTAGTGATGTGGTTTTGGAATATAGGTGAGGTTCGGTGGGGTGAGGTCTGGAGCCAATGACCAAGAAAGAATTCTTGAGACATCTTTGGTGTAAAATGGTGGTTTTATTAAAGCCACCTTTATAGCCACCATAAAACCCCTTCTGGGCATAAGGAGCGGCTGCCCCTGGGGTCTTGAGGAGTGGCTGATTATATACCCAGGAGTTGGGGGAATTAAGGAAAAGGGAGGTTTCTTTTTTTTTTTTAAAGATTTTATTTATTTATTTGAGAGAGAGAGAATGGGAGATAGAGAGCACGAGAGGGAAGAGGGTCAGAGGGAGAAGCAGACTCCCCGCTGAGCAGGGAGCCCGATGCGGGACTCGATCCCGGGACTCCAGGATCATGACCTGAGCCGAAGGCAGTCGCTTAACCATATGTTTGCAATGGCCCTATTTTCAAACAAGGTCACATTCTGAGGTATTGGGGGTTAGGACTCCAACATATCTTCTGGAGGGACACAATTCAACCCATAATGCCTTCCCATAGCCAATTCTCCGTGAAGCTACCAGAGTTCACTTTTTAAAAAATTTAAAAAAATTTTTTTTAGATTTTATTTATCTATTTGAGAGAGAGACACAGAGGGAGCACAAGAGCATGAGCAGGGGGAGGAGCAGAGAGAGGGAGAAGCCGACTCCCCGCTTGATCCCAAACTCCAGAAGCTGAAGGCAGATGTTTAACCAACTGAGCCACTCAGGCGCCCCTAGAGTTCACTTTTAAAAGTATAAATTGGTTCTCTCACCAAGAATAAAATCTGAACTAGGGACACCATGTCCTATTTCCTCTAGTCCCTGCCTCTTTCTCCATCCACATCTCTTTCTACTCCCTGCCTATTAATGAGCTAGCCACGCTGATTGTCTTTCAGTCATGCTCCTTCCCCCTTCAGGGTCTTTGTTTTTCCTTCTGCCTGGAATGTGCTCCCATCAGATCTGTGCCTGGCTCTCTTTCTCACTTCCTCCAAGTCTTCCCATCCAGGGCTACCTCCTCTGAGAGGTCTACTCTTATCCTAACTGGAACGCTGCTACTCTTGTGTCCTTCTCTTGTTCAGTTTTCTTTATAATGCTCAGTACTACATGGCATTATATCTTATATTTATTTATTATATTATATGTCTCCTCACTAGAATGTAAGCTCCATGAGGGCAAGGACTTTTTTTTTTTAGTATGAAAGCCTTGCAGATATTTAAATTTATTTTTTAATCAAGTTAAATTTTGAACAGGCAACTCATTTCCATGATTGAAAGTCAAAATGATACAAAAAGATACCTAGAGAAATCTCATTCCCATTCCTGTCTCTGGCCATCCAGTTTCTTTTATCCTCCCTTTTTATTGGTCTTCCAGGATTTCTTTATGCAAATACAATACATACTTGTATATATGCACATACTTTGCATTTACAGTCCTTGAAAACATTTCCTGGACATCATTCCATATCAATTCACAGAGAATTTCCTCATTTGTTTTTATAGCTGCATAATATTCCCTTTTGGGGCCACACTACAGTTTTTTTATTTTTATTTTATTTTTTTTTAAAGATTTTATTTATTTATTTGAGAGAGAGAATGAGAGAGAGAGAGAGAGAGAGAGCACAAGAGGGGGGAGGGTCAGAGGGAGAAGCCGACTCCCTGCTAAGCAGGGAGCCCGGCGCGGGACTCGATCCCGGGACTCCAGGATCATGACCTGAGCTGAAGGCAGTCGCTTAACCAACTGCGCCACCCAGGCGCCCCACACTACAGTTTTTTAAATCATTTCCCTCTTGATAAACACTTGTGGCTTCCCATCTTTTGGTATTATCAAAAATGTAGGAAGGGATTTTTATTCCATACTGAATCTCCCAGAGTCTTGAAGACTTTCTGCATACAGCCGACTGTCAATAAACAACTGTAGAAAGAATGATAGTTAACCAGTGTAAATGAGTGAGGGAGGGATGGTAGGGAGCCCAAGGTCAGCTCCCGGGTACGCGGTGCTGCAGGGAGGCTCCAGCAGGTGGCGCTGCAGGCGGTAGACGCGCCTGGCCGGATAGCCCACGTCGCTCTTGCCGTGGACGCCGACGGTGGCGCGGGGACGAGCGTGTGGGGCAGGGCGAGTCATATGACCCGCTCGGCTTCCTGGCTTCGGCCGCCGCCGCCCGCCCGTGTCCGCCAGTGGTGCGCCGCGGCCCCGAGGAGCCGTTGAGGGGTCCGGGCTGAGGCCCGCTCGTGTGGGAGCCGTCGCTGCTGCTGTCCTCCCGCCCGCCAGTCCGTTCTCCCTCCAGGCCGCCATCATGCTGGCGCTCATCTCCCGCCTGCTGGACTGGTTTCGCTCGCTCTTCTGGAAGGAGGAGATGGAGCTGACGCTGGTGGGGCTGCAGTACTCGGGCAAGACCACCTTCGTCAATGTCATCGCGGTAAGTGCCGCCCGCTCACCCGCCCGGGGCGCCGCAGCCCGCGAGTCCGGCCCGGCGCTTGCCCGAAGGCCCCGGGCTGGGGCTGCCCTCGGCGCGATGGGGTTAATGGGAGTGGGACGAGGGGAGGAGGCAAGCCGTTCCTGTCACCGCTGCGGGGGCCGGGGTTCGGAGTTCCCGCGTGTTGGTGCCTGAGGGGTAGCGTTGAGATCGGCAGCCGAAGAGTTAATTCTATTTAGTCACCTTCTGCAAAAGGCTAGGTTCTCAGCGCGGCCGGGGCTTGGAATGGGTAAAATTGGCCTTGTCTCGTTTTTAAGGATTGGGTTTCCTTCGGGTTTGCTCTGTGGGGGCACCTGCAGGCTTAACTTCAGCCTGTCACTTCCCCGAAGGGTGGGATTTGGCGAGCTGTCAGTCCCGTGAGAAAGCGTGAGACTCCAGAGCGTCCCTCAAGTAGCCACTCGGGACGGAGAGCCCCATCGTGAGGAAAGCAGGAGACCCGTGTGGGCTCCTTCCCGAATTCCGTGGGTAGCTTGTTCCCTGTAATTTAGTTATTGGTTTTCAGTCGTTCCCCTAGGGGCGGATATCAAGTTCATTGCTGTTGGGCTCGCTGGTAGAAACTGGGGAAAAACCCCTCCAGCCGAAATTTCCAGTCCACTGTAGTCCGTAGTGTTTATTTAGCCAGGCAGTTACGGGTTTCTGCTTTTCCAGAGCCAGTAGTCGGAAAAGATGGATCTGTAGTCACTCAACTTCCTTGAAAAAGGAGGGGTTGATCTTTTATGAGGGTGTTTCTTACTTGAAAGGGAGGGAGGGGAAGAGACTGGGCAGGAGCATAGTTTATTCCAGGCCCAGAAAATGGGTGTCTAGGAGGGAAATTGCCCTGGGAACCTGTATACAATCTGGTGTTTATTCAGCAGTGATTGAGTGGAAGGATGATTATTAAATTTTGCTTGGGTGGTTAGTTGGGGAAGGAATAAGAGAGAAAGATTCTCTTCAATCTTAATTTAGAGGCTAGGAGTTGATGTGATTCACTGTTAGCTGATAGGTGCTTGTACTTGTCAGGGACAAGCTTTAGAACTATGCTAAAGAGAGATGGCAGCAGTTCTTCATCTTTTAGACGATGGTTGAAATCCTTATTTAATAGTCCAGTTGCCCAACTGGTTTGGTTACAGGAATGATTCAAACACAGCTCCCTTGTGGGAGAAAATATGTAACATGTGACTCTTAGTCCGGTAGTAATGGAGCAGCAGAGTGAGTAAGACTTGAAGAAAAATATTAGCAGAGATCCAGACTTCCTTTGAGGAACGTTGCATATAAGTATAAAAGAAAATTTATATGTACTTGTTTGGCTCCTTTTGTGATAATGTTTTTGTTTGTTTTTGGCTTGAGATGACTATCTTTGCAACAAGTAGAGTGGAAAGTGTATATGATAGCACTAAAATTAATAAAAAATTTTGGACTAAATATCCATACTAGAGTTTTTATTTACTTATTTATTTTTAATATTTTATTATTTATTAGAGAGCATGAGAGAGAGAGCACAAGCAGGGGGAGGGGGAGAGGGAGAAGCACACTCCCCACTGAGCAGGGAGCCCGATGCGGGACTCGATCCCAAGACCCTGGAATCATGACCTGAGCCGAAGGCAGACGCCTAACTAACTGAGCCACCCAGGTGCCCTGTACTAGAGCTTTTATATGATATAGAAAAGATCAGACCTCAGTTAACTAAATTTTCTGGTTTTCCCTTGAGATAAGAATTGGAGTCTCCTTGTAAACCCTGTCCTTTTGACAAGACTGAATTAATATATAGTGTAGATGTAGGTGTATTACTACAATTAATTGTTGTATTTGTTGCAGAGTAGTTATACTTGGGAAACCTGAAAAGGTTTAGTAAATCTTTGAAGAACTTCTAAAGACGTAAGCATGAAAATCATGCTTATTATGTTTTTCATAGATGGTGTAGCTTAATGTGAGCAAGAACTTTGAAGTCAGGGAACTGTGGGTTTCCAATCTGGCTCTGCCACTTAGCAGCCTTGTATCCTCTTTCGGTTTTTGCTTTCTCATCTTTTAAATAGAGATAATAATAGGTTTCTTGAAGAGTTGTTCTGGGGAGTAAATGAAATGACAGATGTTAAGTGACTAGCACCATCCTGCCCATAGAAGGGGCTAGGTAAGTGGTAGGTGGTGTTATTTGTAGTGGATACACTTCTTTAATGCAGAAACAGCGTTTTGAAAATATTCAGAAGGGAATTAGCTGGGGTATTTTCCTTTCCTGAATCTGATTTATTCAAATGTGGGCTCCAGTGGTGGAATTATGGATTGTAACAAATAATAACATCATGTACCCCCCCTTTTAAAAAAAATTGAGAGCTTCTGGAACCCTGTTGAACTCAAAGTGAACTAGTGGTTCCACTATTTTTTATATTAGACAATTCGTTTTGGATTATAATGATGTGGGTAGGTTTGGCTTAGAAAAAATCTGGACTGTAGTTGGTTATAGCCTTTAAGATACTGAGTAAAAAAGAGACCTCGTAAATTTCATACCTTTTAAAAAAAAAATCTCAGACTGTGGGCCCCTGGGTGGCTCAGTCTTTAAGCGGCTGCCTTCGGCTCAGGTCATGATCCCAGAGTCCTGGAATCGAGTCCCACATCGGGCTCCCTGCTCAGGGGGAAGCCTGCTTCTCCCTTTCCCACTCCCCCTGCTAATTTTACTGTAGAAACTAGTCTTCCAGTGAGGTGGTCTTCTCGCTGTCTCTGTCTCTGTCAAATAAATAAATAAAATCTTAAAAAAAAAACTCAGACTCTAACTTAATCTGTGATTATTAAGAATATATTGGGCACCTGGGTGGCTCAGTCGTTAAGCGCCTGCCTTCGGCTCGGGTCATGATCCCAGGATCCTGGGATCGAGTCCCGCATCGGGCTCCCTGCTCAGCGGGAGGCCTGCTTCTCCCTCTCCCACTCCCCCTGCTTGTGCTCCTGCTCTTGCGATCTCTTTCTCTCGGTCAAATAAATAAATAAAATCTAAAAAAAAAATATATATATATTGAGGGTGAGGAAAAGGTTAGTAATTAAAGGTGATTTTTACAGACTTTTAGATAAAAACAATGTTTCCAAAATAGTAAATTTAGCCTTATATTTAAAAAAATTAACTATTGTTTGTATTTTGTATAAAATGTTTGATTTGTAGACTCAAATATAGATGGTTTGAGTACTTTGTGTCACTTTAGAAAGTAACTTGCTAGGTATGAAAAGCTTCAGGTGAAGGCAGTTTTCTTTTGGTAAAAATCAACTTTTTGCATAAAATGTGGCAAGTTAAGAAAAATTTCAGAAATGTCATTTAACTTACCCAAAAGGTTTGTGAAGGTGAATTAGTTGTATATAGGGTTTGGCTTATTCTGAAATTAGGCATTTTTTTTTTTTTAATTTATTTGTTTATTTGACAGAGATAGCGAGAGCAGGAACACAAGCAGCGGGAGTGGGAGAGGGAGAAGCAGGCTTCCCGTGGAGCAGGGAGCCCGATGCGGGGCTTGATTGCAGGACCCTGGGATCATGACTTGAGCTGAAGGCAGACACCCAACAACTGAGCCACCCAGGCGCCCTGAAATTAGGCATTTTATTTACAGAGAGGTTCATTCCTAAAATTCATATTCTTGTTGTTTTGAAAATGGAATGATACTTGGGCGCCTGGGTGGCTCAGTTGGTTAAGCGACTGCCTTCGGCTCAGGTCATGATCCTGGAGTCCCGGGATCGAGTCCCGCATCGGGCTCCCTGCTCAGCAGGGAGTCTGCTTCTCCCTCTGACCCTCCCCTCTCTCATGCTCTCTCTCTCTCTCTCATTCTCTCTCTCAAATAAATAAAATCTTTAAAAAAAAATGGAATGGTACTTCATTTTATCTAATATTTTTACAGACACCCTCAACATACTGAGTGTTCTCTTTGTTTTGAACATTAAAAGAAACCTCTAGTCTTTAATTTTCTCATTAGTTTTAGGGAATGAAATACTGCCCATTGCTAAGTATTCTGGCAGTTATTGCATAATAAATCATGTGTTCTATATGTGCAATGTATGTTGAGTAATCTTTATTTTTAACAGAGACTCTTACATGGGTTGCAGGAATTAGTAAGAAATGTTTAATAGGATTTACCAAAGTGTTATAGGCTTTTTTTTAAAGATTTTATTTATTTATTTGAGAGAGAGAGAATGAGAGATAGAGAGCACGAGAGGGAAGAGGGTCAGAGGGAGAAGCAGACTCCCTGCTGAGCAGGGAGCCCGATGTGGGACTTGATCCCCGGACTCCAGGATCGTGACCTGAGCCGAAGGCAGTCGCTTAACCAACTGAGTCACCCAGGCGCCCTATAGGCTAACTCTTAAAGATAACAGTGTGTTTTAGAAATGAGTAGTATGAAAGTTTGTCTACATTTTTGTGAAGTATTGATACAAATTGGTTAATCCAAGGAAAAGTTTATTACTGCTGAGTATTAGGAAAAGGAGATATTTGGAATGGTTGTAGAAATTTGAATCTAGAATTTTTTTTTTTAAGATTTATTTATTTTAGGGAGAGGGAGGGAGAGAGCACGTGCTCTTTAGGCTGCGTAGGGGCGAAGGAAGAGAATTTAAAGCAGACTCCCTGCTTAGCGTGGAGCTCCACCTGGGCTGGGACCCTGAGATCATGACCTGAGCCAAAACCAAGAGTCAGATGCTCAACTGACTGAACCACCCAGGCGCCCCAGAATCATTTTTTTTAGAGTTTGTAGAAACTTTAATTAAGTGGTCTAATTTTATTCTCATTTTATAGATGTAGCTAGAGGATCCAGAAAAGTAAGTGAAATTCCTAAGGCTGCTAACTAGTAGAGATAAAATTAAAACCTAGGGTTAGTTCCCTTTCTTCTTTTCTGGTCTACCTCTGTAAAATCCACCTGAGACTAGAATCATAGAGTGGTGGATTAGGAGATCTTAATCCTTAAAAAATCTTTTTTTTTAAATATATTTGGTCATAAATATACTCT